CAGGGAAGGCTGGAAGGTGAGGAGCAGGAAGGAGGGAAAACAGAGAGAAGCAAACCTTATTTTTGGGGGGGGGAGAAATAATAAATAATCATGCCCCAGGACAGCAGGGTGGCCCAAAAGCAGCCCCGGGTGCTGCACCCACGCAAGCTGCAGTGATTAACCCTGGATGACCAGCATGAGTCACTGTTCCGGCTGCCTGGGGACACCTGTAAGTGCTGCACAGGGAGAGTCTGCTCCCCAGGGGTTCACTCACAGCTGCTCAGCCTCCTGGGATGGGATGTTCTAAACACCCAAGTATTTGGCACCGGGCACCTTCCAGATGAAAAGCAGCGTAGTAACGCCTGCAATTCATTACCAAGGCTAATTAATGATTCTTGTATTATTACTAATTAAGCTTGTTTTACTGTATGCTGGCTGCCAGGGGGAGCTGGGAGCGTTGCCCAAGGCAGCACAGCTCTCTCTTGCTGGCTGTTAAGGACACAGGAGGGAGGATCAATCAGTGCATTCAGCCCAGGGGCACCCTGAACTTTCGGCCTCTGCAAAACGTCACCATCATCAGCTCAGATTCAGGGCCACTGGGATTTGGGATTCCCCTGGAAAGGCTACAGACTGGGAAAAGATCAACCACTCATCCCAAAGAGGAGCTCCTAAGGGTCAGCAGAGGCAGGGCAGGCCCAGGACTGCTGGTGGCAGCACAGGAAAGACCCAGCAAGGTCTCTCTGGGCTGCAGAGTAGATCCTGAGCTGCCTTTCACCATCCCAAGTAGTTCAGTTCCATCTGATCCCTGTGGTGCTGCAAGGAAGAGCACAGTGGTGAGCAGGCAGGAATGGGGCTGAGAAATGCCCCAGAGGAGACAGACAGCAGGGACATCTCCAAAACAGGCGTCCTGATGAGGAGTAAACCTTGTCCCCACCCCCTGCCCTGTCTCCCCCACCAAAATAGAACAGCTGGGGTGAAAGATCCCGAGCAAAGGCTCTCCCCCCTCACCTGACCAATGCTTGAATCCACGTGCATCGTGGTTTGTAAACACAGCTTCTTTGTCCTTGAAAGAAGTTAAGATCCTGAGGGCCAGAGAAAGGTGATCCTACCCTGAAGCCCAAGGCAGTGCGTCAGCAAAGGGGAGCATGGATTCCAGTCCCCAAATCCTGCCCCATTCTAATACTAATACTTCCTCATTGTTGGCACCAAGGGTGACAAAAAAGTAATTGAGCTGCCCCTGGCACTGAATACATAAAAATGCAAATTTCTTCCTTACCCTCAGAAGCATTCCAGACATAAAGCATGCTGATGGGAATGGTACAGGGTGAGGCACAATGTTTACCATGCTCAGCTAACCAGAAAGCCAAGCCCAAAATCATCAGCAAAGATAAGTTCATTACCTAAACCATCTTCTCTTAAGGGAAGAGATCTTGCATCTGCAGGTAGATGGGTTTGATGGGGTGGCTTTGCTCTCTGGTGACCATGACCCTGTGACCAAACGGTCCATGCCATGCTTAGCAGTGTTGTCTCATGCCCTCCCCAGGTAAATAACCCTTATCTCCTCATGCCTCTCTTTGCTTCCCCAAAATCAGCTATTGCACAAAATGGATCACATGAGTTTCTCTGAGAAGCCCATGAAGCCCTCCTGTCAGCTCCAGATATGGTATAAATCACAGAGAGATCCCAACGGGAATATCTTCTTGGGCTGATCAAGCTGCAGCAACAGAGACACTTCTCCAACAGCCTGGCAAGAGCAGAGATTTGGATTCCAGGCAGCAGAGCAGGTTGGTGGCCTGGCTTTGTTTGATTAGTTAATTTGCTTCGTTTTGGGCTTTGCCTTGAGAATCAATGACGTCCCAAGCTTGGCACAGACAAGGGGCTTAGAAGGGAGGGACGGTGGAAATAGCTCACATCCTTCTTGCAGAGACAGGTTTAAACCATGAGGTGACGTCCTAAAGACTCCTGGGGTTTTCATGCCTTCCTCAGCCAGGAAGTATAAGATTTTCTCAAAACCTTCAGTGGCTGACATTGAGAAATCAAACCCTGTTGGCTATTTGCCCCAGGATATTTGATCCTATGGGTGCTTTTCCAGGATCTTGCATCAATAAACACCTAAATGCTGTGTGACAAACGGGGCTTGCTTTGGTAACCTGCCCTGGGACATCCCCAAGCAGAAGCCTCTTAAGCCAGCCAGGCCGTCAGGGAAGCGGGAAATGAGCTAATCATCCCTCTTCTTTACGCTCCTCGTCTCAGCCTTCCCCGTTCCTCTGATACGTCCTCTCCTCCTCACCACATGTCCTGCTTTGGTCCAACCCTGGGCTGTTGGAAACGAAGCAACGCCCCCTCATTCATGGGGCTCTCCTCCCAACAGCGTTAAACCCCCAGCTGGAGGCCGAACCATGTCCCAAGAACCCGCGCGGAAGGGCAGTGAGATCAGACACCCCATCCCCAGCATGGGCTGCGGGCACAAGGATGACAAAGCCAGCCTGGCTTCCAGCCAGATAGTGTCCTTTGGCCACCAGCCTCATCACCCCCCGGCCACTCCTGCCTCCAAGGAGGTCTGGAAGAAGGGCGGCCGAATGTTCTCCATCCTGCTGGCCGTGCACCTGGCCCTGCTGGCCTGCACCCTGGTGAGCAGCGGGGCTTTCGAGAGGATCGCTGTGCACGACTACGACGTCTTCTTCCTGCTGACTGTCATGATGCTGATAGTCATCATCTGGATCATCTTCTACCTCGTCGGCACCTCCCGCTGCCCAGACGCCATCCTCTGCAAGGATTCCCACGCTGGGCCCATCTGGCTGAGAGGTAGGAGCTCTCAAAGGGCTGGAGATGAGGTGCAGGGTGGGCACTTCATGGGGGCTGTTACTTCAGCAACAACCTGGGGCACAGCCTCCTGTGCTGGGGCATGGCACCGTGTCCTGCTCCAGAAGGTCAGCTCCTAGTCCCTTCACTGGTCAAAGCACAGGGTTGATTAAAACCCTTTCCAGCCAGAATGGTTGTCTGAGTGCTGGGAGAGGAAAAACAGAAGCAAAGCCTCTCCATGGCAATAGTCCCTCTTCTTCCTCTCATCTCTCTGCATCAGCCCACACGTGCATACATCTGTCCAACCGTAGATATTGTGGTTCCTCAACAGGAGGCCTGATCCTATTTGCCATTTTCAGCCTTGTCATGGATGTGTTCAAAATAGGATATTACTCGAGCTTCTACAGCTGCCTGTCTGCAATCAAAATCATCTACCCCATTGTGCAAGCAATATTCGTGGCTGTCCAGGTGAGATGGTTGTGCCCTGTCTCGCGGAGGGGTGGAGAGACAGAGCCACCAGCAGAAGGAGCTCTGATCTCATGGATATAGTTCAATGCAAGTGGTTTAACTCAGCCCCCACCCAGCCCACACCATCTCCCTTCCAACCACACCAACTTCCAGCTGTGCCAGCTCATGTTAAGGCATTGGTTTAAGCTTGTTCCCATCCTGTGGCACTTTGAGTTATGCCAGGGTGGCTTGTTACAAACTCTAAGCAGCCCCCACCCAGCCAGGTCTCTTCTCATGAAGAACAGAGAGGAAGGAGGACACTCAGGGCAGAAACTGCCTCACGGTTTGAAGTCCCTGCACAGAGGACCATCTGCTCTGGGACAACACCAAGGAGGGAAGAATTTAAATAGGGATAAGCTAGACAGGAACAGGAGCTGGCCATGGGCAGAGCAAGGGCAGTGGGACAGGGCAGAAGGAGCAAAGAATGTACCACAACCAGCAAATGGCCAGGATTATGGGCTAGTAGGCTGCACCCAGATGACCCAAGTGAGAGAGGTTCCAGCTTGCCCTGCTGACCAGGGTCATCCCTACTTCCTAGTGATGGGATTTGCCTTCTTACCTTGTTGGAAATAACAATTTCTTCTCTTGCCCCCACCAGACATACTTCCTGTGGGTCTCTGCCAAAGACTGTGTCCACGTACACCTGAATGTTACCAGGTGAGCTCTGCTGCTCTTTGAATCCCACTGGTCCAGAAGACCTGGGTCATCAAAACCCACTGCACTCCCTCACACAACTAAGATTCAGCAAGGGGATCAAGTCCACCTTTACAAGACTGGTTTGACTGGAGACCAAGCCAGAACTATAAATCAATGCACTATTGAGAAGCTCTTCCAAAATCCACAGGGAGAACCAGGCCTTGCTAATACCCATAGGCATGAGCAAAAGATAGAACAGAATGAAAGCTGCACAACAAGGATCAGGATTTCTATCCTTGGCTACCACAAAGTCCTTACACCACCTCAGGCAGCTCCCACAGTCCCTCTGAGCACATGCATCTCTATGCCATGGACGAGAACAGCATGGCCCAGAGCCATTGCTTTCATCTCATGGCTCTTCTCCTTCCTCTGCAGGTGTGGCTTGATGCTAACCCTGACCACAAACCTGGCAGTGTGGATGTCAGCAGTGACAGATGAATCTGTTCACAAAGCACATTCAAAGTTGAAGAAGAATGTGACAGAGGAGATCTTCAGATGGCTCCTGAAAGGTAATCTGGCCATTTGCAGAATCATCTGGTCCAGGGAGGAAGTCCAAGAGATAGAAATTGTTCTGGAAGTGAGGTTTTAATCCTTTTCAGGAGGTCTATCTAGAGCAGAAGGTTCCTTTGAGCTGGTGTGTCAAAAGCCAAGTCTTAATGTTTATTTCTTAACCTGTAACACAGAGGAGTCAGAAAGGTGAAAGGTCCTGTGCAAATGAGATGGGAATAAGGAAAGGAAAAAGAGATGTAACCTTCCAGCTAACTCCATCAGAAGGAACTCCAGAAAGCTGGGGCTGAAGTGTCCTTGTTTTCAAAGTGGTCACATTTTCTTCTCTCAGTCTTATTTTTCACTAACTCTTAGTATCCAGCTCCTCAGGGCTGCTCAGAAGTGCTGGCTCCTCGTTTTAATACCATCTGTGTGTGTTCCCTTGTTTCAGCGGGGATAAGGAGCAGCTCAGCAGCAGAATGTAACTGCAACAGCCAGATCTGCCAGATCTTCAAGAACGGCTACTTCTGGCTGTACCCCTTCAACATTGAGTACAGCCTCTTTGCCTCTGCCATGGTCTATGTCATGTGGAAGAACGTTGGACGCTTCATAGACCATCACTCCCACCACATCCACCGCCTGAAGTTCAGGCTCTTCCTTTTTTTTGCTTTGTAGGCATCATGTTGGGGCTCATCCTCCTGGTGAGTGGTTTGGGAGTCCTTGTTCTTTACGAGGTGCAGGTAAACTCCAGCACTGAATCCAGCAAGAAGAGCCAAGCACTGACCATGTACTACATCTTCAACATCGTTTGTCTGGGCCTCATGTCCCTCGTCTGCATTGGCGGCTCCGTCATCTACCGCTACGACAAGAGAGACATGGATCGGCACAAGAACCCAACCAGGACCCTGGATGTGGCCCTGCTGATGGGTGCAGCCTTGGGACAATATGCCATTTCTTACTACTCCATTGTGGCCATAGTAGCCAGCACCCCCAGGGACGCCATCAGCGCGCTGAACCTCACCTACGCCCTCCTCATGATCGCCCAGCACACCTTCCAGAACATCTTCATCATTGAAGGCCTTCACCGGCAGCCCCCCAAGGAGGACCCCAAGCATGACTCTCACCAGAAGGACCTCTATGGACTCACCTTCGTCAACATCAACGCCGTGTCCCTCCGTGTGCCCGACGGTGGCAGCACTTTGGCCCCTGGCACAGCTGCTGGCACCGAAGCCACCCACCCCCCCGACCCCGTGCGGGCCCTCACCCCCCACAAGAAGATGAACTGGAGGAGGAAGTTCCTAAGGGAGATCTCCATGTTCCTCCTGCTGAGCAATATCATAGTGAGTACACGCAGAGAGGAGAGCTTGTCAGGGTGGGGGAGAGGGAAGCAAGCACAGGGGAGAAGTGTCTGTGAAGGAGACAACGTGGCTCATGCACAACCAGCCCTTCCTGTGCCCCTGCTATGGGGTAGAGAGCAGAGCAGGGATTTCCCTGTCACCTAAAGGCCAGAGAAAGTGCCCTGGGGTTGACATTTTAGGCTTCACCAACAGACCTGTCACTTATCAGCAGAATATCAGACAAAAGCTAGTGCAAGAGAAGCAGCAGTTCCAGTGCTCTTATTGGGTATCAGCAGGTATGTAGAATAGCTTATTAAAAGCAATTAAATACATGAAACCCGTCTCTTACACCCCCAAAGAGAGGATGTAAAGTGACAAATGCTTGGGGTAAAGGCTGGATTGTCTTGAGAAATGGCAGCATGACTTCTCACAACACACAGCCTAGGAGCCCAAACCCTGATCCCAGTTGCTGTGAGGAGAAACTGGTCTCTGCCAACTTCAGCTGGGGCTTCTGTTTTCATGAGCAGCCAGGGGACTGCACTTCCAAAGCAAAGGCATCTCAAGAGCTTCCAAATCCCTAGCTAGTCATGTCCTCAAAGAGATTTTACATATAAGCTCACAAAAGACAGGCTGACAACCTCCATGCAACCAGATACATGTGCTGGCTGAGCTTCTGAGCTCAACATACACAATCAAGCCTGGGGAGACCAAGCTGCTGCCAGCTCAGCCCTACCCAAAGAGTTTGAAGAGCCTGGGTTCATGCTAACTCCCACCATACTCAGGTTCTTCCCCTGGTTAAGTGCTTCAGCCCATGGTTCAAGCCTGTCTTCAAGCATAAGTCAAAACCAGGCTTAAGGCACAACACTAGATCACACTTGATCTTGCTGTAGACACAGGCTCCTGGCACAGGAGGGTTTCTCTTCTCCTGTCTCTGTAGCTGGGACTGCAGGCCCTTGCTGTACCACACCCCCCTCTCACTGCAGTGTTGTTCTGTTCCCCCCAACAGCTCTGGATCATGCCAGCGTTTGGTGCCCGGCCCCAGTTTGACAATGACACGGAACTGAACTTCTATGGTGACTCCATGTGGCCAGCCATCGTGGACATCTGCCTGCCCTTTGGGATCTTCTACCGAATGCACGCAGTGGCCAGTTTGCTGGAGGTCTACATCATGTCCTAAAGAACTCCCTCCCAAGGAAGAGCAGATCCTCCTCAACCAATCCACCTTCTTCCTGCCCCAGGGCTGGGAGACTGCCCAGATGACCCAAGGGGTCCCCAGCACTGCCCGCTTCCTTGCAGTGTTGGGGCACTTATGAGCTGTCAAGTGAAGATCACCCAAACATAGTCCAGATTCTATTTTTGCTACTCCTGTGTAGGTTTGCACATGTGTTTCTCAAGTTCTTAAAAGATACAAAAAGGAAGGTGTCCAGGGGAGGACCATGGTAATTACCTTTGGTTCATGCAGAGACTCACCTTCCTTCTGAAAAGCCTGTGCAGCCCATGCCACTGGTGGGCTCTCCAGCAGGTGCTCAGCACCCTTGGACAGTCAGTGCCTGCAGGCAGAGACCTGGTGGGTACGAGGGGTGACTCAGGCATGGAAGGCAAAGAAGGGAAAAACCACTTCAGCTTCTGGTACGGCCAGTTGGAAACCACTGCCCTGCAGAGATGTGAAAAAACAAACCAGTGACCACCAAAAGCTTTGGCAAAGGTTTTGCTCTTTCCTCTCCATGTTGCTTGTTTATGTTGGCCCTCTTGGCCCTTCCCTGCCTCAGCCCCTGCTGCTCCCCTTCCCCTCCAGGGAGGCATCACTTCTGCCAAAGGGGTTTGCTCACTGGATCCTCCTCATCCCAAGGGACACGTCTCCAGGAGCTGTGCCTGTGGTCCTGGGCTGGCCCTGACATGGGATTGCTCTAAGCACACTTTTTTTCCCCTCCCCAGTTTTCCTGAATCAGGGTTGAAAACCCACCAGGACCCTTGTGCAATGCAGGCTGGGGAATGAGAGAGACCTATTTTTAATTTTTTATTTTTAACAGATAATTATTTTTTTTTAATATATAAACTTGTTTTTGTACACAAAGTTATTTATTGATTTTCACTGTATCACTGAGCTCCTGAAGGGACCTTCTGTGCCCTACGACACAGAAATCAACCCAGTGCCTTGGCCAATTTGATCTCCTGTACCCTGAAGGGATGTTGGTGCTGCACCCTCAAGCCTGAGCAGGTGCTGAGGTTGGGGGCACAGCCCCCCCAGGCAGCCCCACGTAGCAGTGGGGGGGTTTCTGGGTGCCTGCAGCTCTCCATGAACCACAGTATGTTTGAGGTGGCTTTCAGAGCAGGATTTCTGGGCTGCAGGAGGTAGAGATGGGCCCTTCTGCTTCATCCAAAGTCCAAGGGGAACCTCAGAAAGCCCCTGCTGCCAGGCTGGGAGGGTTCCTGCCAGTTTGGTCTGTACCCTGAGACATCCAGGTGTGTTGTTCCAATCCAGAACCCTGCAGGGGTGGCAGAAATCATCAGGCCTTTTCCTTACGGATGTGTGTGCACCAAAGGAAAATAAATAAATAAATGGAAATCATGATGCTTGAACTGGAGTGAGGAGATTTTTCCACCCAACAGCCCAGAGTGGGGTTTCAAACCACCTTTCCCTCCAAACCCAGAGCACCAAACGAGGAGGGGCCAGTGTCTCTGGCTGCTCTGACATCAGCCTGCCTGCCTGCAGCCTTTTTCTGAGGCAGGTAGAAGATGGGGTAAACCCCCCTTTCTCCTGCCCCCCAGGGACTGTCCTGATCCAGCACCCCTGGGCTGGGTCCATCCTTCCCTTCCCAAGCCCAGAAGCAGCCAGTCCTCTCCAGCCCCACCACCCTGGCAAAGGCCTGGCTCCATTTCTCACATAGATCTGGTAAAGATACAATCTCACTCTAAACTTTACCTTTCATAAAACAAAAGCCTTACTAATTTTAACTGCAGGAGCCACAGATGAGGTCAGAAAAGACGTACCTGGTGCACGGACGTCAGAGTCTCACACACACCCCAACACATTGTTCAAGTACAAGCTGCTGAGCTTGGATGTGGACACCTGGAATCACCTGCCCTGCTCCTGGGGGCACACAGGGTTTTCCTCCTATGCAGTCTTGCTGCTGCCTGGTCCCAGGTTCCCCAGGCTGGGCACACCAAGCCAGGCAGGGCAGGGTTTGAACTGCTCTTCTGTTCTGGACATAGACAATGAGGGCAATTCTGGGGCTAAATGAACTCAGGATGGTGCAAGGAGAAACCTACAGCAGCCCAAGCAGCACTGATACAGACAATAACCACTAAGCAACTGCTTACCACAAGCCACCACCTCAGGATACACCAAAACACTCTGGGGACAACACAAGGTCAGCAAGGGCCCCTTGCTAACCTGAGACATCTCCAGGCTGCAAGTGAAGGGACAGGGGGTGTCTCCATCCTCATACAAGCACATACAAGCATCTTGGGAAAGGCAGCAGGTAGAGAACAGCCATCAGTGACCCCTCTCTATATGCCCAAGAAAGGAGACAGAGGGAAGGCCAGACCTTGATAATAACTAAGCTGTCAACATTTTAATGGTTAACCTTTCTTGATTTAAATACTAGAGGTACATATTGTTGTGAAGATACCTTTTGCTTTCTAACCTTAGCTTCTGCTTCAATCCCCAATCCCCTACAGTTTGACTGTGCCTGTGCTTCCTAAAGTGTTCAGACCCTGGAATCACAATAGGTCTCAATCAGTGCACATACATCCCATCTGCCCCATCTCAAGGATCTGCAGATCCAGCCCCAGGACTTGAGCCATTGCATGAGCACCAAAAAGGTCCTGATCCAGACCCTGACCTGAGACACAAAATGCCAGAGCCAGCAAGGGACAGCAGCAAGAAAGGGAAGAATCAATGAGCAAGAGATTAGAAATTACTGCTCAGAAAATAGGGAAGGTCATTGCCAAGGCCAGAACTGAGTCATCATTCCACTGCTACCAGGATTTCACATCCCCTCCTTTGCTTCTTAATCATCTGTTATTTGAGGGCGAGTTTTGTTTTATTAGGAAAACAAAAAAATAAGCCTTTTATCTGGGTGATTTGCTGTGAGGTGTGTCAGGGACAGGGGAGGAATCCAAGTTAATTATTACCTGCCAATGCAGCAGCTGGAAAGAGGATGGATTGAGGAGGTCACTAGGCTGGAGAGATGAGGGATGGGTTTGCAGCACATAAGGTCTGGCCCAAGAGCAGGACCAGCTCTGGGATGTGCTGGGAGTCAGGGCTGGAGCCAGCAGTGAAGGAGGCACTTCCCAGCAAGCAAGGCAGTGGTCCTTGCCAGCAAGGAGCACCCAACACCAGCCAGAGGTCACCCCAACCTGCACCCAGGGCCAGCAGGTGCTTCAGGAGCAGAGCCCATTCCTGCCGAGCCCTCCCACTCCCGCCGCGGGGACGGGGAGCTGGGGCTTGAGGCTGCTCTTTGTTCCCCCCCAAAAAAAGGTGCTCAGCTCACTCACCAGCCCCACGGGCAACGTCACCGGCGCCGTTATCACCGAGGAGGAGGAAGGGTGTGGGCTGGCGGGGAGGCACAGAGGCCCCCGCCGCCCGCGGGAG